CAAATTTACAGGAAGAATCTACTTCAGAAGTTATATCTGATAGTACAACTATCAGAAGTTGCGATTTGATCCATTCTGAGACTTATTGCAAAGACGTCTGCAGACGGCTTTAAATGCAGCATTGACACCAGTAAGAACTGTGCCTGCGAATAAAAAATGCACAAGTGTTGAACAAACAATAACAGAAGGAACTGTGAAAAATAAGGAGACTAATAATAAGAGAGAAGTAATTGCACAGACAAGCGTGAATTTGGAAAGATTTTTTTGAAAGCACCTCAGGTCAAATTTGCACAAAAATTTGTTAGTGTTAATGAAATATCGGCGCTTTGTGCTTTTTAGAATCCTACTTTCATAATTTGCACTGAAGTTGTTTAAACTTAAAGAATCCACTACATTCTTTAAGTTAATTTTGTACATAGAATTTCATTTTGGGCATTATAAAATATTAACAAAATACCGGGATGAATACTGCATCCCAGTTTTAAAATAATATTAATACCTAAAACCGGTATTAATATGTTGATCCGGCATGTATCCAAACTAAATTTGAGATTTTTCGGAATAATTACATCTCTACCTTCTTTTTCCCTACAAATCGCTCGATGAAATAGCGACCGTAATAAAAATATCATAAAAGGTTTAGTTTAAGATATTTTAAACTGTTTAGTTAGAGAATTGGTGGCTAAAATCATACGACAACTTTAAAAAGTTGGTTTTATAATGTGAATAACTACAGTTTCAGTTATTTTATCAGCCTTTTCCTAATTTCGTTTTATAAAGTAAATTTTTCATAGAAAAGCAGTGGGTTTAGGAAACCTAAAACATCACTAAATGGCCTTCAGAGACTGATTGATTATGAAGAAGTTTGTGTAAATGTTTGCACATTTCCATAATCTTTCTAGCGTTCGACTGTTTTGAATAAGATAAGGTAAAAAGTTAAAATACGATATGGAATCCATTAAAATTGTGGATCTCGGGGTACCATTTAAAGTCTTTATTCTATAACTGATACTGTACAGTTGATCTTGTGCATATAACGGCTTTCCCAATAGATACAACAATTTTCTATTTTAACAGGAACAAAACGTCAATGAAGGTTAACATTTTTATCATGATGTAGTTTCCAAACCAGCAACGTTAGGAAATTATTAAAAATAACTACTGCAATTCTGAATCAGTATTCGCAACTTTAAGAGTACTTACTCCAAGTTTCGGTCATAATAATCGTTCTACCAAACTGCACAGCGTGCTATAGTGGATAAATTCAAGTCAAGGAATTGAATTATACTCACTATTGGATATTACTGTGTCAGTGAGATAACGCACCGCTCGAAGTACCGAAAATTTCGCAGCCGTAAGTGCCTACATCCTTACAAGATGAAATTAACTCGTAAAGTGAACCCTCTTGATGATTTGTAGTGCCGAAATTTCTGAAATTGAACTCTGTTAAAGTTGGAAGAAAATCTGAATCACCTGAATTTAATCCAAAAATCATCTTCAGCGAAGAAGCTCATTTTTGGCCTTTGTAAATAAGTCAAATAAGTGTTATTTAACCGCAACAAACTCACATATGCTTCAAGAGTCACTGATCGCTATTTTCACACTACTTTTGGTCAGAATTGGATGGATTTGATATCAGGCTAATCGAATTGTTCTACCGAATAATAATCACCTTGCTCATACGATTCAATTCCTTTTCATGGAGTTAAGTCGTTGGTTTATGCCTAGAAGGCAATAACGTTAGAGAAGCTCAGGGAATATACCGAACGCGAAATTGCCAATGTTCAATCCTGTCTTTCTGATATGTATGACAGAATGGTATAAAATTATTACATCCCTATTAAAAAATCCGATACATCGAACTAGTTTTCCATCAATAAACTTGTTTCAAATCATCACAACAATAAAATAATATCGCAGTAATGCTTCAAAAGTAGTCAAATTCGTCTTCACGTTCTCAACGATATTTCTATCTGCGAAAGAAAAATGCAGACAATTGAGGAAGCTTCACACAGATGAACACGTAAGTCAAATACAATATAACATCATTATATTGTCAAATGGTCTTTACACCAATCCATTACATCTACGTTTAGAGCAAGAAATAAAATGCACATCTGACACAATCCTATTATAGCTTTCATAATCTTGATAAGACAAGAGAGTAGACTGTCTTTATTACGTTCAGAAAATTATTGTCACTGCTTTGTCATCAATCCCACAATCCTAACATTGTCATCTTTAAACTATTTTGTCTCCCGATGTCAACATTAATAAACTAAAGTTTAAATAAAAATTCTCAACCTGTTCATGTAATAACATATATATCATATACTCAAAAATATAAAAAAAAAATTTCGAAAGAAATTTTTTTAAAAAGAAAATCAAATAAGAGTGTAAATTAAAAGACCATAATAAGTTCGTAAAGTCCCTTTCGGACAATATGGATCCTGGGCAGGTTGTAATGTTCTATCAAGCAGGGACGGGGCAGCACCTAAATCGAATGAGTTAGGTCGTGGGGTCGAGGCGTGGTGGAGTCCCCCAGCAAAAGCGATAGTAGCGCCGCGGCCCGGCACCGATCATACATCAACCTCGCCCCATTAGGGATTAATGATGCCAACAGCGCCGAAATTAACTCCCCGCAGGCTTACCGCGGCAATAACGTTAACATATTAACCATTTGTTAGAATAGCAATATCGCCCCGTTCCTTATTCAAGTCGACGACCCTCATTGCATCACCATTTAGGGATCAATAAGATTTTTCTCTACAAAATCAATAATATTTAAATGAAAATTTTCTTTTTTAATTAATTTGTAATTATTTAATTAAGTTTTAGTAAACGTGCGTATTCTAAAGCAAGGATTTTTTTTGTTCAAGTAGTTTGTTAAAACTTTTTTTTACAACTTTGAACTACAAGGTTTAAAGGTTGTATTAAGAGTTCTTCTATTACAAGTTAATTTCTATTTTAGTTATTAGAACATAAAAACGATCTTACATAGAATTCGATTTTATAATATGCTGTCACAAAGAGGTTCTAAATAGTGTTCGCAGGGGTTTCATTACGAAGGTTTGGAAGCGAAGCGCTGGCTTCGTCGGTTCCTGTCCCAACTATGGACTAGAATGAAGTGAGATAGTACCGGAGCCAGGACGCTAAGCCGAACATATTTATTGCCCTGGTTTAGTGTGCTGTACCCAGGTCTAGCTCCCTAATAAAAATATTGCCCGCCGGTTCTCTATTATTGGTTTTCAGAAGGTGGATGTATTTTGCCGCGATGAATTAAACCATAGATAAACATATAATGCTATACTTTAAAATGGAAATAATATGTATACACGTTGTATGAACAATATACAATACGTTGTACTGTTTAGAAAGTGACAACGTAATCTATTGTAGTCAGAAAGTAAAACGGTAGTTATCTTTTTTTAAAGTTATCAAACGTTTGTGACAAACCTGTCTCGGTGAAACCAGAAAAACACACTGTCGTAAAATGCAAATGGCTATAGAACAGCCGGCGGCGTCTGTTTATATACTAGCGTCGCTTAAAAAAAAGTGCTAAATTTTTCGTTTATTACGCGGCGACTACACGCGTATCGATGTTCTCTTGGGTTCATCCTTTTTTAGGTTTAAACTTTACCCTTTTTCTTTTTAATCTTTTCATCCATTATTCATCGACATTTCCTTTCGTGGTGGCCCTTTAGGCCACACAGGCAGCAGGGGTAGTTTTCACATGTATCTGTGGAATCCACCCCTTCGTTTTGTGAACATCAAACCACCACCGTTGCGGTTTGCAGAGAGAGGAAGCGGTTGACCACCGGTTTACCAGCCTTTACCAATACACCATCACCGCATCGACATCAAACAACTGTAAAAATGAAATTTATCGTCTACAAATATTTAAACTGTATATCTGACTCGAAGATCGTAGTCTAAGGATTTCTTGCATTCAGAATTTCGGGTTCTCTCTAACGCTAGGTCGTTGCCCAATGTGATGTTGTCTCTACTTTACAAACTAAACATTATGACATTGCACCTCCCAAATTATTTGCATTGCAAATTTTCTTTCGCACAGGTGGCACGAATTATACGTCACATTGTTATAAACACCTAAAGAAATTTTAAATCGATTTTTTTAGAATTGATGATGTCAGAATGGGATAAAATGAATCACAAAAACTTTTTATATATTCTATCTACAGAATTTGTTTTATAATAAGCGATTTTTAAAAACAAAATAATTTTCTAAAACTATATGTTTTGTTTTTATGTTTTCGAAGAGAAATTGTAGTTGTACGTATTGAAAACCATTGGTAGTGATAAAGTTGTAGAGTTGATGATGTGAAATTGCAACCAGACGTAACGTGTGGGAAATTGAAACAGTCCAAGAGAAATTCAGCGAGACTCGGTGAAGTGCTTGCTGGTGCTCGTAAAGGGATTTTGCATTCAATATCATGCTGGGGTCGCCGCCCTACGCTTGCGCAATGAGGTTGCTGGAAAACATCGGCTACTATCGACTAGGAGAACGTTGTACGAAAGCAAAATTTATTTAATAATTTAAAGGAATAGATTTGTAACAGGTGAAAGTGTCACGAAAGTTTAAATGTATTTTCTAAACGGAAACTAACTGAAAATTTAGTTTGAAATTTTGTTAAGTAAAACAATAAAACTGTTGTAAAAAAAAACACACAAAAACTGACTGACCCCACGTAAACAGACTTTAGCACTTTCCTCTCTGTGGCAACCAGGGAATCACTGGGAACCTCCAGGGGAAGCTTGACATTGGTTATCCATCGCTCGGAGACGTATAGCTGTTAAATAATCCAGGACCATTAGCGATCCTCGCTGTACGGACGGTCCGTTCTGGCCCTTGGGACCATATATCTCCACCGAGATTTATTTCCCCCCGCAAAACTTTACCTCCTTTTCACCTTGCTTAATACAACCCTAAATAAAACTTTTGGACGTTTTCTCACTTAAAAATTGATTTTTTCTTGTAGGTGTGGTTTCAAAATAGACGGGCGAAATGGAAGAAACGTAAGAAGACAACGAATGTTTTTAGAACACCTGGTGCCCTTTTACCTTCGCACGGCCTTCCTCCTTTTGGAGCTATGGGAGATGGTTTGTGCGGCACTAGTATGTTCAGTACGACGGAATCTAGATGGGGAGTTGCGGGAATGGCTTCAGGTAATATTTTAATACACACAATCGCCACCAAATACAGTGTGTTAATTAATTATCTATCATCGTCATCATTGCAAGTATGCAACCAATATCACTGTATTAGTATTGCAACACACTGTATGTTAAGTGTCACAATTAACAAACTTTATATTATAACGAAAACAAATAGTTTTTTATTAACACATATTCGTATTTTTGTTATATTTAGGATTAGGACAATTAGGACAAGGAGGTGTGTCAATGAGTGGATTCGGTCAGGGTCTAGGACAATTAAACCAAAGTTCGGGGTTAAGCCCTGCATTACCTATCAGCACAGCGGCCGCCAGTACAGTTTACCAAGCACATTACGGTCTCAATTCGTTAGGTGAGTGTTTAAAACTAAAATTAGATACTTTCTCTTTACGCATTTTGGTGACTCGACGACTTTTTCTAACTTTTAAAACATATTGCTAGTTTGAGTGATGCTCCGAGCCACAATAAAGCTATTGACAGTTCTCGGAGCCTATTGCCCTAGGTGAGAAAATCCCCCGTCGTAATTTTGGGTAATAAAAACCCAGGCTGTGCCATCATCAATTTAAAATTCAAATACACACGGACGGTAGCACAGCCGCTGACTTAATTGTTTCGAGTTGCGCAAGAACTCGTGCGCGCGTTCTTTTGACGTGTTCATAACGACCGATTTTTATTTTGTTCGAACGGGGGCGCACCGTACTAATTTTACGTGTGTACAGAGGATATTAGTGTCGCTTGGACGTACTACGGTAGCGGGCTCCCATTTTAATCACCTCTAATTGTGTATTTTCGCCGTTCGGTACAGTTCACCGGCCGTTACGCCACTGGCGAGTCAGCACGAACTTGTTACTTTCAGCCGGGAGGTGTCAAAAGTAAACGCCGCAGCACGGCGTGTTTGCTCTTTGCTTTTGTGTGCGGCGGAGATGCACCGACCGCGTCCGGATGGCTCTTTTTTTTTATTACACGACCTCGGACAGAGTTCGTTTTTTGGATCCGACACCTTTTTTCCGAACCATTGTGAACCTTTTGGTAGTCCCGGTTACGTCAACTTTTTCCCTGCTTCAAAAACTCACGTAGTATGGGTTTGGGCAGAAGAAGTTATTAAAAACAATTAGCACCTTTTACCTAGCGTATATATTTCGTGTATCAAAGTTGTTAGTCTTGTAGGTATGAGAAAATTTTACGTCGAAACTATTCGTTTGTGATAGAATTTTAATGTAATGGAAATATAAAAATTTTATAGGATGAAGACAAATTATAGCAATTTTTATTGTTACTCATTCACAAGTCGTGGGTTTTAATTGCTTATGATTAACACATGATAATTCTGTTGTAATGTTGTCAATATGATTTTGCGTGTGTATAAAATATATTTTTTTTTTATTTCATAATAAATAATTGGTCAATTTTAGGAATTATCTAATAAAATTGTTTATAAACTTGTTCATACAGGTGTCCTAAATTGAAATGGATTTTTGAAATATGGCGCGTTTCCCATTATAAATGCAAATTATATTGGACGAAATTACAGCAATTATACGATTACTCATTCACGAGCTAACGAATTACGAGTAACGGCATACAATTATCATAGAGTATTTTCACTATATCATGTGATTCAAGTTTGATTGCCTTATTACCGCCAAAACCTTCTCGATTAAATTACATAAAAAAATGAACTATCTATATTTATGTCACCACAAATATAAAATATTTACGTCTCAAATATCAATGCGAATAATTTATGGGGCTCGTTACGTTGTCAAGTTCTATCATGAACCAAACCCCGAATTATTTTGGCCAACGACATTGTCGACGCCAACCGCAGCACTGTGGTGCATTATTTCAATTAGCGTCTTTTTAAAATTTCACTGTTTGCCTGTGAACTGTTAATATGTTTGAGTAGCGTCCGTGAGTTATTTGCTAACCAGCTATATAAGCCCATAGCAGCCACGCCACCGAACTGCAATAATAACAACGTTTATGAATTCTCATTCGCATACACGCTGCTTTCTGCGTTATTCTGTTCGCTTCTGACGACATCACATTAACGACCACTTTTTAGCGTAATAAGTACTTGCAAATATTATTTTTTTTCTACAATTCTATTTTCACCCATTATACTTTAGTAAACTTTGTGATTTTTTTATTCAAATTAATTTATGGCATAAATTATATGATTGGTATTTTTCACATTCATGATCTATTTATTATATTTACATAGATTTAATTGAAGGTATCTAGTTCTTCAGTTCAAAAGAACTCCTGTGACTTTGAAATTTACATTTACATTTCAATCTACTTTTTTTTAGCCATTTTCACTTTGTTCTCTCAATTTGCATTTCTCTGCCATCACACCATTTTTTGACATCATGGTGGAAAGATCAAAATTTGATTAATTACTTCTCATAGGTATATTCCAGATAGAACGTTACTACTTATATCGCCTCTATCTTATACAGAGTCCTCAAAAATTTAACAGCTCTTACATCGTGGTGTCACAACAATAAGCCTGCATGGTATTGCATTGAGTTAATATTTTTTTTTGATATTTTCCTCCAGATTATTTGCTGCCACATTTAAAACTGATTTCAAACTTTATGTTTTCTGCTATAACGAATATGAACGAAATTACATAAATTTATTTGCTATCTAAAACGCATCAATTTCCACTGAAAACATAAAATGTGGTAAGATAGAAAGTCAATCAATCTTTTCCTTGAAGTCACGTGTTTAAAACATTCAAGTGATTTGTCACGGCTACCAGGAAAGCTAAATCACTCAGTTTTCTTTATCATCAAAAAATTATCGATTTCATCAACTAAGTTCAGTACCCGCTGTGGTGTTAATCCTTCGTGCTAAGCCAAGTCATTTGATTACAGTAAAAACTCTATATCATCAAACTCACTTTCAATTTCTACGAGATATTGTTTGAACTTCCTGTTATTAAGTTTACTGTTGAAGCAATAACTCCTGTATTGTACACACAAAAGCAGGAACTTTCGATAAATACAATAAAAATAGAGGAATCTGAAAAAGTATAATAATAGCAATTAAACCATCACATACAACATGCCTGTTAAGAGACAGCAATACTATGGGTTATTATAAATGTTTGAAAATAATGTCCTGTAGATGACGTCCTTCTATACGTATGAATTCTTTCCTATGCATGTGTTGTTGGGTTGGGTTTGTTTCTTCATCGATCGCTACAACAACATCTCAACAAAGATAACACGATACGAATTCTTTATTTCAAAACATCAGAATGGAATTCGGTAATTGTGAGGGACAAGGAATGTTACCGAAGCTTGATTTGACTCGAAGAAATATGAAACCATATTTTGCAAAGATGTGGATAATTATTACATGTAAGTGCAACAAAAGATTGCAACATCTTAATATAGCGAATTGATGTGATATTCACTGTGAAACTAGAAACTACACCTAGAGTGATACTACTAGTGGTGCTTATTCACATAACTTGTGACATATCTACAACTTGTCCAGAAATCCATGGACCCTATGAGTGTTTCTTCCAAGGTTTTTTCCTAAGTTGAACGGTACTACTTCTGCGTACCTTCCAAGCTATCATTGTTTTTGTAAAACGTGTCTATAGCGAAAGTACACAACTGATTGTCTCACTAATTCATGTTTACCTACAAAACGGTAAGATTTTACACACCTCAAGGTTTCCATTTCACAGTGCTATCAACTATGTACATATCTATATTTCTACCAGTAATTAATTTTCTACACTTCTGGACGTATAATAATGAGTAGTCTGTCGAAAAATACAAAAGATAGAGAAAAACGACGATATCTGGTCTAACTGAAAAAAAAAACTTTCTTAGAGTTATAATATATAGGATTGCTTGTGTTACCTCAATTAACTCAACTAATATTGTAGCAACAGGAACACACAAGGGAAGTAACTACATACAATTTTTCAAAGACTTCGATGATTCAATGAACAAGATAAGCTCTTCAAATTCAAAATATAATGGCATAATGGAATGCGTTAGACAGACAATAGCTTAAATGCTCATGGTGCATATCATACAATTTAAAACTTATGTGCAACAACTGATACTAACTGTGCTTGCCCCAAAAGAAGAAATGCTAAAAAAACACTGAGATAATACAAAACATATTAAGCCATATTCTCAGAAAGTCCACCATCGCAAATTTAAATGATATATGTTACTGTGGCTTCTTTAACTCTTTTTGTGAAGGTTCTACAAGATGTATGACACATTGCCGGAGATAATTCCTCCTTCAATCTTCGTTGTAGTATTGAAACCCAGTTTGTTGGGAGTGAGGAGCTTGATTTGACCATTTGGTGTAGATCCATAAACTCTTTATATACAATTTCTTGCTTTGATGCTAGGTTTTTGAGTCACACTCAAACACCCAAGACTAAATATCATTAATGAAATCTTCCAAAAAATGGGAATCATGTTCTTTCGATTCCACAAACTGAAGGCAGCTTTTCCTTCTTTATCTCGTTTCAATCTTAAATACTTTTGTACAAATTTCTCTCATCCACAATTTTTCGTCAAAATTTGGTATCATTACAGAATCTTTTATAAGCTCATCTTCTATTTCAATAAATTTTTAGCTATCCATAAATAATGAATGGCCAACGTTTAGACAATCACGAATAAGGTTCATCACAACTGTCTCTAAGTGTCCTAATCCTCCGGTCTCATCCAATTGATCATGACATCATTTGATTGTGTCAGCTTCAGAAATGCATGATCTTCATCAATAGGTGATTTTTTAACTTCACGTTTTACTTCATGATATGTCATGATAGATGCAACTTATTTATTGTTGGACACTAAATTAAAGTCAAAGTTGGTATCACATACAATTGGAAATATGATAGGTTCTATTATAACTTTTAATAGTTTGAGCTTTTATTCTTTTATATTTGTGCCCTAACTGTATTCTTTAAAGCACTGCTAATCGATAGATTTGAAATATAACTTTATAAACTTGAAATGTTTACGTCGTCAAGAACTACAGTTATTTTTGGCTGAATTCTATTAACATTAAGATGTTAGACACATTAGCATAGCACTTCAATATTACATTTCTCCTTAACTTACTATACATATTCTAGTAATCTATACTTAACTATTACTGTAAAATAGTAACATTATTTTATTTTTCATTTTGCAGGTGACACCATGATGACGTACTGCAACAATGCGGGTGGTGGTGGTGCGGGTGGAGGTGGAGGTCAGGTGGGGGCATCATCGCCGCCTCCTCAGATCCCCTGTTCGAATGCCGCCACCCCTCCGGTGGTGGTGGGGGCGGCTGGTGGATCGCCCAATGACGACGATGGAGACATGTGGAGGGGGCACAGCATAGCGGCGCTTCGGCGGCGGGCCTCCGAACTAAACGCCGCCATTCCTTCGTACCTACAGATCAACTACGACACGCACAATAACGCCTCCGTTTACTGAGCGCCCCCCAGTAGAGGTCGCGCGCTTCGGTGGGCGGCGTCGCAACGCCAAGGAGGACACATCCGCGTCGTCTCTTATTCGGCTCGTTTTTATCCGTTTTCTTTGTTTTTAGTAACTTTTCGCTTGTATCCCACCCACCCCCGAACTCCCTCTTCCCCCTTTCGGATGATGATTCTTTTTTGTTTTGTTATTTTCTATTTGTTTCGTCGGTCGTTTGTTGTCTGTCTTTGCGAGTTTGAGATTTTGTTTTGTATTTGGCCGTCGCGCTTTTTTCATTTTCATGATCGGGGGGAGGGGGAGTGATGAGCGCAATTGGAAAATCGGGGAGAAGTGGCTTCTTGAGATTTAAAAAGGAAATAAAAGTTGAAGACGGAGTTATTGATAAAGATGTTTCAACAAAAAGTAATCAATTAATTTTTGATATAGAATTTTCCAAATGTGCGCATTAAATTAAATGTTTTGTTCTAATGAAATTGCGAGATTCCCTTTAATGTAAATAATGTGTGTAGATTAGGAATAACGTTAATTTCTAGTGCTCTAGAATTTTTAAATAAAAATAATAAAACTTCGTACAAGGTTTTCTCACAAAGTATACGGTCGAACTGTAAAAAAGGTATACCAGTTAAATCTTCAACACAATCTACGATAATGTTTACGGTCGCAATTGACTGATGTATAATTATTATAACTGGATTATATGATATATAAAAAAAATAATGATACAAAAGAAAACGGTATACGATGTCGTGTAATTATTGTACAAAGATACATAAGTAATTTAATTAAACCAGAAAAAGAAATTAATTAATTATAGTTTATGGTACCGTACTCGTGTGATCGTCGGATTATTGTAAAATTTCTTTGTGTGAACATTATAAAGACACTTCTATAAAGTTGATCCTGCGTGTTTTAGTGTATAAAGAAGTTGTGTCGGGACGAAGATGCAAAGATATATGATGAAGTAACGAATGGTGTAGATGCGAATTAAAAAAGAAGTTTATACTCGTTTCGTGTGCTACAACAAAAGTATACGGTCTAGGTTTACCTCAAATAAAATTGAAAAAAAAAAAATTTTTTTTCAATGATGAGACATAAATTTCAAGGTTAACCGCTATTATTCCGTGATAGCTAAAGTAATTCTCTTAATTGTTACTAAAATAATTTAATCATGGACTTAGCGGATAAGTATATATTTATAATTTATTGATATTGAGATGATGTAAGGGTAACTTTTTCAAGTCGAATCTTATTTCGATTCAAGTCTGTATTATATAAATATTACGGAAATGAAATGAATAGTTATGTTGTATATTGTATAATTATGTGTACAATAAAGGAAAACATGATGTATAGAAGTATATTAATTTTTTATTTATTTTTTGTTTTTGATTTATCCTTGAAGTATATGTTCAGGTATAGAGATTTTCTTTGTACCAATATAACTCGAGATGAAAGAAACAAACTTCATTCCGACGAGAATAGGTTATTTTTGAAATGACTTTCTAATACTATTTGTTTCAAAAATTACCATGTATACCAACATAGTAAAGAAGACGTATTGTTATGCGCCAATATGAGCGGATCGGAAAAACACTACTGTATCTGTTGATTGGAAAATCAAAGAAACTACGATGTGTGAAAAAACAGTTAATACCAGTGAACTGTAAGAGTAACTAAAACTCCTGGATGACTTCTACTATCCTTCGAAATTGGTTACTTGTTTTAGATAAAGAAATGATATCAAAAAAGAAACGTTATTGTTTCTTAATCGTTCAACTCATAACGACATTCCTAAATTAAAGAATATCAAAGTTTTGTATCTTCCTGCAAACACAACAGGTTTGTGGTCAATCACTTGACGGGATTATCTAAAATTTTTAAGTTTTTTATCATAAGTTCGTAGTGAAACACATATTGAAATACATGGAAGAAGAAATTGTTTTGTTAGGAAGGTTTGATTTGAAATAAGGGAGAAAAGGATTTTGTTTCAAGAAAGATGAATTTAAAAATTCCAGGTTGCTTAAAATCTTATGCTATGATTTGTATTAAAATCTAAATAATTTTGACCCAACACTTTTTGGATTTTGATTGACTTACATATGACTTTTGGCCGAACAAATGATGATACATATGACTTTTTTCTCATGGTAAAATAAATGCAAGATATTGAAAAAATAATCAATTGCTGTTATTAATCTATATTATATTACGTTATGCAATAAAAATTATACAAATAAATATGTTTTCAAGAAAATAGACCAACAAAACTGTCAAAAGTAATGTTATTTAATTAAAATATTGCATACATATTTTATAAATCTACATCTTCATTCTCACTTTCTTCGATATCTGGATCAATATTTGGTACATTATCAACTTGTAAGTTTTTGTAAAAATCATGGAATTATGTATGGATAAAGGACAAGAGAGAAAGTAAGTCTTTTTTTTATTATGTATTAATTTAAATTATTTTCTGACTCAGGTGTTTCTTGACGTAAATTTTCTTGGAATCAATTTGCTGGAATCGAAGCCATTTAGTTCCTTTCCATACAAATTTTTCTTCAGTTGTTGTAACTTTAGAAGCAACTAGGGAACCTTTTAGTAAAGATGAAAAATCATAAACATTTTCAGATTACATTCTCATAATTGATTTTGATTGCTTTTGAGCTCTTTCTGTTAAAGAATGATCCGATTCACATTCCATGTGTGTGTGGCCCGAAACTATGAACTGGTGGTCAATAACTTCAATATTATTCTTTAGTTGCAAAAGCATTATAAACATCACTGCCACATGCGTTTCTTTATTTTGTTCTCCATATGTATCACTGTACAAGACAATGTATTTGATTTGGAGATTCAAGTTATTTAAACGCTTAAACAAACAAGAAGCAACTCGATTTCCTCCTCGACCTCCCATACACTCATGCCACATGTAACATGTTGCTTGATCATCTTCCAAATTGTGCATGATTAAATTGAAGGTCCACAATTGTCTTTTATAAAATGCAATACTTGTTTGTCAATACGATGTTGTAAATCATAAACCAGAGCGATAAACGTTGGATCTTCTTTAGCCTTGATTTTGACAGTAGATTTACAAGTATATACAGTCTCAGCGTCTTGTTGATGGGTTTCTAGTTCGGTCTGAATTGTGTGTCTTTCTTCAAGCATACTACTAAGAGATAATTACATGTAAAGAATCACACTTCTGACAAGTGTCTGCTTTTGGTTTCTTGAGTGATAAATTCAATGTATGAAATATAGATTCATATAACGTTCGTCCTACTGGCTGATCAACAGTTTCTTTGTAAAGTTGGTACATATCAAACAAATTGATGTTGACGAATTTCATAAAGATCATGTACAACCATCAATTAAATGCGAATTTTGGAGGATTGTTAAGAAAAGGTGTGAATATCACTGTATGTGATAAATGTGGACAGTGATGATGACATATTAAAACCTTTTCTTAATGGATACTTGGAACAAGATGTCAAAGAACTAAAAATACAAAATCTAGGAGTAACCAAAACTGAAGTAGAAAAATTCATTTTTTTTATCATAAAAACCTCTGTGTATAGGATTGAGGTCTTCATAGCTGGGATTTTATATTATCACACTAACTCTTTAGAATGGGATTTAAAAATGTCCCTTAGAATTCCTACTTATCCAGGTTTGACTATTATTGGAAAAGTGGATAAAGTGGACTTGCTTCACTATAATATTGCAGCCACCAATAGCACCATGGTTGTTGTACTGTATGGTTGTGGTATTGTAAGATTGTTACACGGTATGATAGTTGTACTGTATGTTGTTCAAATTATTGCTGGGTAATAATTGAAAACAATGTTCTAAACCAAAATACTGTATTGAATATATCTAAACTTTATGATAAAACACTATAGTAATAAGCCATCCATTTTTATCTTTTATATTTCAAAATTTAGCAACACCATCCTTTGTTTCTTTTCCTCTTTTTTCGTTCTGCCTTCCAAGTAAAATTTTGACGTTTCCGAAACTTTAGAATTTTCGCATTTATGGTTTTCCTTTGCTTTTAAGGAGTGCATTCTGAACCACTGTGGCAAAACGTTATTGTTTATTTTCGCATTATTGTCGGTTTCGACATTTTGCTTTTTAATATCACCTTTCTCTCAGGCATTGGTAAATGAGTTCTGATAACAAGTGCATCTCTAGAATGTATTAATCAAATTCTATTCTAGATATAATATTGTTTCTTAAAAAATCAAAATAAAATTTGACATCAGACCTAAATTTGTTATAGTTTTTTATCAAAAGGTTACCATTTTTACGTTTAGTTGTTACATTACATTTATAAAAAATTTAAAATAAAAATCATTACTGAAAAAGAACAAGACATACTTTTATGTTTGAGTCAGGCACTGATTTCAGTTTAATTGCTGCTTTGGTATTCATAAGGTTTATTACCGCTAATAAAATATTATCTTTCAAATCACTGGATACTCCATTAGCTTTGTTTAATGTTTATTGTAATAAAGTCTTACGAGCATCGTTTTTTTTTTAATTCATATTTTGATTGCAATTGTTGCAGGGTTCTTTTTACAGATGCTTTTTTATTAAATCCTTATTCTATCTGTTTGGATGCTTTCATCTGAAAACAAGTAAAATTTTACAACAAAAGAAACGTTTATTCATAATTTCTGGAAATACAGTACCTTTATATTCCATGATTTTTAGCTATGTTAACCATGTTCTGCCATCAATGTTAATTGTTCATTTTTAGCAAAATTTGAACTTTTTGTACTCATAACTTTTGCACGCTTTCCCTATACTCAATAAATAAAAACTGATTTAAATTTTTTAAATGCCCGATTTAGCTAAAAAATCAATTCACACCTGATGTGTGGGTTAATTAGAAATTAGTTACAAAGAGTTGTGCTATGTATAATTATTTGTGTATCAGAACTCTTTTAGAAGTTATATCTAGAAACTTAAAGATCACTTTAATAAAATGATATTTAGTGTTACCATTAAGATATAATCAATAAAACTGCATAGTATTCTATAGCAACTAATTTCTTTGTAACATCTGTTGTGAAAGTTTTGAACCTAGTCGTTTGCAGGAAGCTTAACTCAACGAATAGTAACTCGGTGAACGTAGCTCTAGCAAATAATCACCAGATGGCAGCGGAAGCCTGTTTCGAAAATATTTTAGTTTTACAAGAAAAATTTATTAGAATAAATAAACCATTTAATAATAATACATTTAGTTGGAAGTTTTAACTAAAATTTTTAACATAAAGATTGAAATCAATAATGTTATAATCCTAAAGTTTTTGTCCAAATCAATTCCAAATATTCTGTTTATTCCAATTGTTTGATATCTCTGTTGGTAAAGCGTCGGTTGAGAGAATCGTGCTTAAAATTGGTGGTATTTGATATTAGTAGCTAGATATTGTGCAGAAATCCTCAATTGTAATCCTTCCGGCATTGAAATTCGGCTTATTCGTCCCTCAATTGCACAACGATTTAAAGTATTCAGCGTTCCAAATAGGCGAAACGGGAATCGATATGATCATTAGAAGCTGTTCCATGCGTTATTGGGTCACATTTGTGCAGTCCGGGCGTCTGCTTCGAAGGATACAGGACCGGCATCAGACCGGCGGCATCTGCATTAATTCTAATATATTCAGTACACCAATAACAGCGGACACATTACATGGAAATGTTGTCTTGTGTATCTGTTCATTTATAGACCGCAACATGTTTGACGTTCCCCTTTTCGTGAATATGCACAATAAATTCAATATAACTCACATTGTATTTATTTAATGTTTTAATTGAATCGAATTGTTTTCGTTTTATATTTTTCTATAAAGCGATGTTATTGAAAAGTATTAAAACCTCGTTGGAAAATATGTTTACATGAAAATGTTATTTGTACATTTAGGGAAAATGAAATACAACAATCCGAACAGCATTTGTGACCTCTCCCGAAGCCAATATGCAATTACCCGACAACACTCATCACCGTGTATGTCAATTCGGCGTACAACAGCGTCGCTGGGCGCTCGGCTCCACTACCTTGTTGATATAAACCTTATCGATCGGACGGCTGTTCATCCCGTTCATTTTATACACAAAAATAATCTGCAGCAATACAATCTGACGCGGAATTAGACCTAACTAGAAACATTTCGCTTCGCGGTTTAATAGAAAAGCCGTGGCGGATGGAATCGTCGCACAATTCCAAATCAATCGGAATATCGACAGCACGAACACGCTATTTAACCGGAAACCGATCAAATAATATTCAATTTATATTAAAACCCTTCTGAACCGTTCCAAACGCAATCCACTCTCGACATCCTTTGACACGTCACGAACAGAGAACGGTCATTCATGAACAAATACCGTTCCGTTCGGTGGGACTCTCCACTTGGTCAGGCCACTTGATTAACTATTATCCCAATACCAATGAGATTCATCAAAGTACCTACTAAGTCCATTTGTGATTAGTTGATATTGATTAATTACTATGTACTGAATTTTTAACAGTAGTTTAAATTATTTTTTTATCGAAAAATTATGCATGTACTCTGAATATATCAATCTATGGATTTTTTTAATGAGTTTTTGAAGCTTGATTCCAATACTTCACTGTTAAGTTCTTCAAATTGGGATTATCAGTCTATCAGAACAGGACACATCAAGAAGGATATTATTTTAATATAATTTTTTGTTGAAGTATATGTTCGATACATTCGTTCATACGAGGAGCTAGAAAGGAGAGAAATTCTCGTTATTGCAAATAGTACCTCCGCAGTTATGATGCTTGTTACCACTCAAATTTCCTTTGTTCCACTACAATATTACACGATTATTGGTTGCCGTCTCATTCATTACACAGTGCAACAGCCATTCTGGGGGTGAAAAATTCCAAGTCATGGTGAAAGTATAGTAAAACCTCCAAAGGGTTTGGCGTTCTCAGCTATTATACATTTCATAAAGGGTCTTGCTGAAAAATTATGATTATGATGTTAAGCATAGTTCGAGAGTAAATGTGTTACTTTTGTTTTTAGTTATACATAAAAATGGCTCACGAAGTATCGACTTTTAGTAGCAGCTGCCGCTGCAATTATTGTTATTGATTCTGATACAAGGAAGCGTGCTACATTGATGAAAAGGTATTGGATTCGACGAAGCAGAAGTTAATATCACAGAAGTGATTTAATAAAAGAATTAATATTAGACGACATTAATAATATATATTTGGATTACAGATGTGATGTCGGATTCTGATTTTTTTTTCTAATGACGAGTTAAGAGTTTGATGATTTATGTAATATGATGAAACCCAGAATTACCAAAGAAGGTACAAAATTTAGACAGGCAATACCAGACAGTGAAAGTTTACTAGTAATGTTGGTAGCAAGCGTATCTTTCATGCTTTATTCATAGCAAAAATATATTTTAAATATGACTCACAATTTACAAAACGCTTTCCGTTGCTGAGGTTCTTGGGGCTGGTATATCTGAAAAGAAGGTGAAAGAATGTGCACCTTGGTGCAGGCAAGTATATTGCAGTTGACATTGAAAAACAGAACTAAATTTATCATACACTATCATGTTCGCCTATTACTGTCTCAAATAGGGTGTTAGTAATTATATTTTGCACCATTAATCTAGAATGTGGGGATGTTAATTTTAGAAAATTGATGCCAATCTGATCCCCAAATATTCCGAGCTCATCTTGTTCCTGCCTCTTGAACTGTATTGACCTCAGAATGTCTATAGCTTCATTTAATACAGGTAGTACATTAAGATTGACGTATTCTTTTGAAAGATCGAGTTACATATCTTTTTCAAATTTGGGTAAATTTTGGATTTCTACAACTCCTTCATATTCTTCTATTGCTGGAATATGTTGAAGATCAACATATATTTTTTTCCTCCTCTCCCTGCTGAAAAATCTTCTTTACCTAAAACAAGTTCGTTGTTAATGCCAGTAAATGAAAAATTACAGCACAAGAGTTCCAGAATAAATGGAATTTTCCACATTGTGTTGGTGCAATGGATTGGAAACAATAAATTTATTCCAAGCTGCAAGTATTCTACAGTATTATACCAATACTGATGCGAATTACAAATTTATATATATAGGTGTTTTTTTTATGTTAGTAATAGATGAGTACATTTCTAAACTATAAAGACAATTTTAACTTAACTACTTAATTATGCGTGACTAGTTCTGCCGATTTTTCAGTGTAAAGTTAGTGGTGAATCTTGTTACTATTTCCGGAAGCCATAGAGGTTTGTTATACCTATTCTATTCTGCCTGCATTTGGATGCTGACTAGGAACGACCTGCTTAAATGATATCGAAGCATTGCGTTTAGTTGTTATCATTTGTGCTTTCTACGTCTCCTTTATATTTCTTCTGGCAGATAAAGAAACTTCTCGCAGATATACAGATATATATCAAAAATTGATCATCTTTGGTTAAAGCTTTCACTAGAATCTTTTTAGTATCCTCGAGGTTTTTGTGCAGAATGATCTTTTCTCCGATTTTCTAGCAGGTCATTTTTTTCTGGACCAATGTTAATTCCTTGTCCTATTGTTCCATTCTTATAAGAAACATGGGTGTTTCTTGAAGACATTTTGCTGGCTTTAGGGTGATGTTGGTTTTGATTACTTCGTAACCATTATTCCAATTATAATTATCAAATAAAATAAAGTAAAAATCCTCTACGCAAGAATGTTGATTATAAACCTCTCCACATTTTTAAAGAGAACTAAACGGAAATTTCGAAATAGTTACCTCCTCACCAAGGCGTTTCGCAGTAATTATCTCAAGTTCGTATTCAACTAGTTCTGGCAAGTCGTTAACAGTTACCCCAATTTAGCGTCTATTGGAGAATGTGTGGCTGCTATCGTGTTTATCATTCATTAGAGACGCCACCGCCTCATCAATTATTGATTGCCTAATATAACGAGAAATTCTGCAATGATCGTTCGAAAATAAATAATTAAAACCAGATATATTAAAATATATTACAACTATTTATATATCTTAACATAATTTCAATTCTTTGTTTAATGATTTTAATGTAACTACAAAAAAAACCTTTCGAATGTTAACCGTCCAGGAAGAGAATGAAGACCGATAAATTCAATTCAATTATATGGGTATTGCTGTAACAGCTCCATTTGGAACGCTATCATAGATCTAAGGGGCCACTTCGATTTACAACCTTCGTACTACTTGTATCGGGGCATAAAAGTGTACCTAAACTAAAGAAAGTACTAGGTTATTCAACGGCTCAGTAACTTTCACTCTTATACCGAGTTGTATTTGCAAGGTCGATAACTACAGTATTGGTGACTAGCACTTACCAGATAACTTATTGACAAGATTGTGCAATTTTAAACAGAATAATTATTTATTAAAATTAACGTATTTATAATTTATATATAAACCCTTTGAAAGACTAATGGTCTCGATACCTCATAAATTGGAAACATGGACAAGGTATATGCAATTTTGATGATAGTAGACGGCTGGTGTCGTCGAACTCTAACCAACACCGTTTTCTAACCGAGAACGGGTTTGTTCATGAATAATTTAATGAGTTCTCGATTTGCATAATTTTGTCACATTTCGTTTTCACCCTGTCGGTCGATTCGTGAACAAAAAAAAAGTTTCGTGTTGACCTAGACGCGCGTATTTCACGGGACTTAATTGGAAATTGGAAAAATGTAAAAATTTTCGGGACCTATTACGAATTTTTCACGTGGCTTGTACTACACTGTGTATGTATGAACATTGAAAAACGTATTTATGACAAAACAAGTTCCGACAGAGTGGCATTTGAAATTAAAATTTTTTCGTGACTGTCAAACCAAAATGTTTGCACGTTCAAAACAAACCTTTTTAGATCGTATCTCCTCTTTTTTATTCTACACATGCAGACGGATATAAACA